TTTAAGTTTTTTATGTTCCTTCATTCGGAATGCTAGGCTTGATAAAACTTTGTATGAAAACCACTTACACTCCACAATGTTTTTGGGATGCTTATTTCTTACATGCTTTATTAACTTCTCATTTGCCAAATATTCTGCACTACAGTGCCTACATGTAAACATCTTCTGAATAAAAAAGATTACAGCTTTGGTAATGGAAATTAATGTATGAACAATATAATACCTTTAACCAGGAGGATCCCTCTTGCTTGCTTGTTTGGGTTATTTTAGTTTTATTTTATTTGCAATTTTATCCTTATTCCAGGTACACACGAGTCAGTTAATGAAGTATCCTACGTTATGTGGTTATCATCAGACCTGGTGTATGTTAAGACACATAGGGTATTTAAAACACATCCCCTGTGCACTCCACTGAGATAAAACTTGGGCACAGACACAACTCGTTGCCTCTAGAGTATTTCTATACCATTCGATGGTTACTTCATATATTCTTCAGGTTTAATTCACTATTGTCTACATAAAGGAATGCCTGTACCAATTCAGGAATATGACAGTTGTTTTCTATATGTTGATGTGTTTGGGCTTTTGATTTTTCCATTTGATAAATCTTTTTTGAATTTTCGGTATTTTTGTTATTTTACTTTTTTCTTCAAGATTTCGGTACAAAGTATACCATTATTCATTATATAAAGTGTGTTATGAACACAATTATTGGTATACTTTATTTATATTAATATAATATGAAACTCCTTGCAAGGAAATAGTTTCTAGATAGAACTAGGACCTAGGATATTATTTGTCATCACAGGGTAACTAAAAGGGAATTCGATTGAGTTTTACAATGTCTTCCAGACAACAATATGATCAGTACTGTGATTTATAAATGTTTAGATTTTTGCTTTTTGTTTTTCTAAACCCAGTTATTTATTCCTCCGTTATATGGTTTAAAGCGGTCGTGATGAACAACCGATGGATTCTTCTGAATTTTGTAGGTGACACCAGACAGGACAGTTATGATAAAATATGGGCAATCCCATTATGTTTGCAGTTTTGGGTTACTTTGTTTCACCGAGCAGGGTACACAACAACACAACATCCCCTATCTGGTATGAATGCTGATAGCTCTTATCATCATATTGTCTTCTGATTTTCGCTAGCATTTTTCGTGTTGGGGATGGGGGCCATTTAGTAATTCTATTGGGAGTTTTTCGACCAAGCATTAGTTTACAGGGTGAAAACTTTGTTAACTGTTGTACTGATGATCGATATCCATGAAGGCCCATGGTAACTGGTTGTCCCAATCCCTCTGATTTGTACTGACATATTTACAAAGTGTTTCTTCTTAACTGCGATTGAGTCGCTCCACAAGCCCGTTACTTTGATGGCGGTATGGAGTGGTTTTAGTCGGGTACATAATTCTTTAAACAATGCTGACTCAAATTGTCTGGGAAGACCAAATTTGCATACAAAGTTATTAGCAAAGTTATCTATAATAGTTTAAGTCTCCATATCGTGCATTTAGCCTACCTTGTGAAGTAGTCTGATACAGTCAAGGCATATTTATGGCCCTTCTTTGATAATGGAAAAGGTCCTATCATATATAAAGCCACACGTTCCATTAGTGCTTCAACATGATATTGCATCATTTTACTCTTGGCCCTTCTTGGTGGCTGTTTTCTAAAAGTACACATGGTACATTACTGTATACACTAATATCTACCTTCAAATCCACCCAGTAAATTATCCGGACACGATCAACCGTTTTATGTATGCCTAAATGTCCTGACGTTGGATTATTTTGTAATAATTGTGATATATCTATTGTCCAACAACTGGGGACCCGTAACTGATTTACTGTCTCATAAGTAACTGTGTCGGTTTTCATTTGATATTTTATCCAGGATTTCGTCAGATTTTTTGGTCTGTATTATTTCCTCAGTTGTCTTTTGTTGAATCTATTACGTCTCGTCTTCAGTGTTTTGGTCCTCAATGTTGTTATTTGTCTAAGTCATTCTAATGCACCTTTCTAATTCTGTTTTGGTAAATTCTTTTTGGTCTTGTCTATTGCAGTGGCTACACGGGTAGAACGGTCTCCGTGACAGCCCATCAGCATTCCCATGGAGTCGCCCAGGTCTGTGCTGAACCTCAAAGTTATATGTATTTAGAACTTCTTACCATCGAGCCATTAACCCTCTGTGTTTTTTTAACCTTAATAGCCAGTTTAAAACACCATGGTCGGAACGGACTAGAAATAGACTCTCATATGAATAACGATGAAAATTTCTTATTCCAGAAACAATTGCTAGAAGTTCTCTCATCGTCACACAGTATTGTCTCTCAGCCTTACTTAGTTATCAACTATAATAGGCTATGACACTTTCGTTCCCTTCAATTATTTGGGACAGTACAGCACCAAGGCCATTTTCTAAAATGAAAGGTTTCGTCATTTTTGGATAATATATAAAAATCCTCTTAACTATGAAGTTCAGAATAATGGAAATGGTATAAAAGATAGAAAATAGGTAAGTGCCTTCATTAACTTTTACGCTGCATTTGAGGTCCGGAAAAACTTGAAGGTAGTCACATTTACAAACAATTTAGGTTTATAAAATAGTGTGTATTATTAATGTTATTGGTAAAATAGAAATTTGGTGACTAATACTAATACTTAGCGAAAATGCTAAAACATTACAATATTTTAAACAGAAAGTTTGTTAAATGTGCCAGAAATTTAAATACGACTGCGATTGTCAAAAGTGTTCTGTTAATAAAATTTCAGTCTGTTTTTATACATTCCGTTTCTCTACATTGTACGACGAATAGTAACAATGACATTTTTATGACTGAAATATGCTGAAGAGGGAGAAAATAAAATAATATTTATAGCAAAGAAAGGCTTAACGTTTTTTTTTTTTTTTTGCGACCGGTAATAATAATCTCTGTATATTTCAGCAACTGACCCTTTGTTGTTTGTTAAAATTAGAAATATGACAAAAAGATCGGCTGCAAAAATGAACTAGGGTGAATAAAGAACGTTCGCCGTTCACCATTGTAGTAGATGTTTTTTTATAGAATAATTTCAACTATTCAGGATTATTAATGATCGACTTCGGGTTGAAATTTCTTTCTTGATCAATTACAATCAGATGTTTTTAACGATTTCAATCAAGTACACGTATGCCTTGAAATCTGCATTGACAGATATGTTTTCGAGAACGTTTTGAACCGTCATGTATTACATGTAATATTGATAATTAGTTTTGTCATTCATACAAACTTTAGAAAAAGCGTACATTGTACATGTCTCTGCATGGTCTCACACAGTTTGTAAATGTATATGTATTTGTGTCTTTTATTTCTTTGTCCTTGTGTGTGTTACCTGAGGAAGGTCAGCTCAGAAACGCGTCGTGAACATCAAAGATTGATGTTATTTACATGTTTTGTTTTATAGAAGCTGAAGTATCTGCTAGTACTAAGTGTGAGCACATAGACCATAAATAAAACAATACTGAAAGAGAAAAAGTCATTCTCTCAGTTCTGAACCTAGCACTAATGTTGAGAGTGAGTAATAAGACTTGCCTACAAAAAACTAAGGTATTTTGAAAAGAAACAATATATGATGTGTATCCCAAAATACCATTATACGAAATATTAATTCAATGAAAATTAATCAGTGTAACCCTGCTCCGAAGTAGAGGAGGTAATAGTGTTTGATTCTTGTGGTTCCGTCTGATCTTAACAAAATTTTCCCTCGCACTTATCTCTGTACCTACTCATCAAAGCCGCGATTGAAATTTTGACAAGTTTTTATAGGTATGTCATATTGTGGGATAGTTCTTGGGCCAAGGCGACATAAAAATCCGGTTTAACGACTTAGTTTATTTTTCTACCTTATGGTTTTGAATACAATTCACATTTTAGGAAATTTTGCATCAGATAAGTAACAAACATTATGAGAGTATTACATGGCAATACATAATCCCCTACCGGTTGAAAATTTATTGTACCAGAAAAAAAATCAAACTAGATCTGTAACTTGTCATGGTAAAGCTTTATACAAAATATCAAATCAATGTCTTCAAGCATGACGAAAAAAGTGCAGAAAAAATATTACTAGCATGAATTTCCTAAATGCAAGGACCATAACTCTGTAGAAAATTCATCAGACCAGAACAAAATTCAAACTTGATTTGCACTTATTTTTAAGCACAAAAACAAGAAGTGTGGAAAACTGCTTTGCTGGACTGACAGACGGAAGGAGTGCAAAACTAAAGTTCCCTTCGGCTTTGCTGTTATGGGACTGATGAAAGCAGACAATTTTTACTTTCATAGTGTTACTGTTTTCTTTTCTATGTCACTAAAGATCCATTTCTAGAAAATGATTTTTCAAATTTTTTTAATATTTATTTTCAGATGTCATATTTTTATCATGTCTCGCAAAATAGATTGAACTGGAGGGAAAGGAGAAATATGGCATTGACTGCTTTTTTTGAAGTTCAGGACAAGGAAAGCAATTTACCGTTTTCATGCTTTGTGAGAAAGTTTTTAAGCTAGGAGCCCGCAGAAAAAAATGAAAAATGTACGATTTCACATATCGCCAAGAGAGCATATAGCAAAAGTTTAAGAGAAAGTGGAAAAGTCAGGTGGAAAAGGAGCGTTGGATGCAGCTGCCGTGTTTATGAATTATCAGCAAGAGTTTAGGGAAGACGTCTTTATACGTAAAGTCAACTCTGCATATTGCCGCTGCTACAATATAAACATAAGTCTTGTTGCCAGAAGAAACCCATTCTACAGAGGAAAGTGTCATATATCTAGCAATGAACATGAAACAAACCAAGAGAAGAAACAGACTGATAAAATTAAAGATATTTCCTCTTTCTTCAAGAGCAAGACCACACTGATCAGTTGACTAGAAAAAGAAGTGGTATACAAAGAATTTTTTAAAGACAAGATAAAATATTTATACAGACCAAGAGGTGACAGTTAACACAAAGCTTTTAATGAGTGATACTAGTATTAAACCAGGGGAAGATAATGGAAGCCCAAGTTGGTATCCCCTTCCTTTCATTGATATCAAAGTTATAGAAGACTCAGAACAAGTGAAATATAATGGTACATATAAGCATGTCAATTGTAGTGGGAAAGTACGAAAAGGTGATGGACTCACATGTTTTATCTGTAGAGGTATACCAAACATACCTTCTTTTAAGAAAGAATTGTATTACGCCAGAAAACGACAGATAATAGTGGACAGCGACATATCAACAGCATTCGATTTGAATATTTAAACAAAACTGAACAGTTGGAAACATCTAAAAAACAAAAAAACAGAATAACTTCGAAACACGAGGGAAAATTACTTGAATATGATAGAAGAGGGGATACGAAGGCAATTACCCACGATTTCATTAAAGCGCAAGAAAAAGGACTGTTTAAGGACAAAACCATATTGTTAGAAACAATTGAAAGTATTGCGAATAACTTTCATGTGAAAGGTCCAATAGGGTGTCGATTTCAAACATCAACAAAGAACTTTTATGAAGCATTGCTGATTTTTGGTAGCCCTCGTACTGCAAACTTTGTTGCTATAAACATGGAAGGCCCAAATTTAAACAGCATATATGTTAGACTTAGATATACGTCCAGTCTCTAATCGACGTCAAATCCGCAGATCGACGTCCGGTCTCTCATTGACGCCAGTTCCTCAGATCGACGTCCAATGTGAGGTCACGTTCTCAAATCAGTGTTAAATATTTTAACCATCTAACCGACGTCCAATGTAACGTCGTGAATCACCAAAACGACGTCCGATCTAATCGCGAAGTGTTATATCATTGAATCATTTATTTTAAAGTGATCTTTGTTTATATTATCTGTATTCGTTTTATCTTTTGTGAAGTAGCTTACAGAATTCATAACTGTTGTTCTTATATTGTTTATCAAAATGAAAGGACAAACATCAAAAAATGACAATAAGACAATCACCGACATATATTAATATTACTATTACATGTACATACATCTTAATATTTTGGTAAAAGACGTTCATATTCTCGACCTACGTTGTCCTTATTTTTTCTTTTTCTTCATATAAATAAATGACATGTGAGTATACATTGTACGACAACCCAAAGACAAAGATAATCGAAAGACATCTAGAGGGCAGTATACAGACTCAAACAATAGAAAGAATAAAAACGTACAGCCAATTGTTGAAACAGTATTATTATTTGGACTTATATTTTTCAACAACTTTTTGAGTTTTAGGTTCAACCCACCCTTTGATAAAGTTGCGATTGCATTGCGACAAGTCCTTAAAAGGACGTCGATTAGAGGAGCCAAAAATTGGACTTCGATTTGAGAACAACAAAAAAGACGTCCATTAAAGGGCATATAATTGGCCATCGATTTGTTATCTTATTTTATTATGACGTCAGATTTGGACGTGGTTTTGAGGAACAGGCGTCGATTTGAGGGACAGACGTCGATTAGAGATCGGACGTCTATCTGAGTCTTACATACAAAAGTGGAGAAGCTTAAAAAGTGTCGCTTTAAAACCTGGCTTAGACAGTGACAACTTTAATCAGTATGTTATGATTATAAAAAGAATTATGGAAATTCGTAAACTCTCTCCAGTATTACCGGCAGACGAAGAAACAGAAATAGTACGAATTGTACGGTATCGCCATGATCGGGATGAATTACTTGGATTATGTGGACTAAAAACAGCAAATCCAGCTGACTATAAATGTTTCCGAGTCTTTCCATGTTTAACAATAATTGATGGGAAATCATGCAAAATCTACTTCAGGAGAAACTTCCAAAATTAGTTGCACTTCTCTGCCTACCTGTAATAGATTTAGTCGTCATGACGTTTACCGTCAGTGGCACCCGGGTGGTTAGGTTAGAGGTTAACCTCTGGAAAGACGGAATCGTGCTGGCAAGGGAATTAACTAAGAGCCTTGGTATGGTACCAGAGTTTTATAATGCCTATAGTCCTAATGATTCAGATGACCCTTACAACAGTTGTTTCTTCCGTCCGTTTGATCATGGGGGTCATGATAAATTATCCAGAGACTTATATCTGGTGGGTAGATGAAGATGACAACTGTGACAGTGATACTTACAGAGATGATGACAATACCGTGGATGATAATCTTAGAACTGATACTAACAGAGATGATGATCTTGGAACTAATACTAACAGAGATGATGACAATACCGATGATGATCATCTTGGAACTGATACTAACAGAGATGATGATCTTGGAACTAATACTAACAGAGATGATGACAATACCGATGATGATCATCTTGAAATGATTCTAACAGAGATGATGACAATACCGAGGATGATTATCTTGGAACTGATACTGATGCCATAAACTGCCACACAGAAGAAGATTCTGTCGGAAGATCTGATGATATTGTTAAGTGTTTTTTCATAAGCACTGACTATTCACATATTTTGCCAATCAAAACTCATTATTTGATCTGTAAGTGATCACATCAATTTTTGGACAAAAGTATGTTGAAACTAATGATATCGTTGTCAGTTATCAATTATGTAAATTGTAAAATGCAGGTGGACAATAAAAAAAACATGATGTGCATTTAAACATCCCTAAAAACACTGCTTTTTGTATTTCAGACTTAACCTTAAAATATTTTCACGAAAATCGATGCCCAATAGCGGTGATCGTTGTTTAAGAGGACGAACAAGAGGAATAATGACCATTTGTATTTGACTTTCCATTCAATACTAATGCCAAGTGTTTTCAATAAAAATGAAAATGTGAGAGGTTGACGGACGACAACGGATTCCAAGTGGAAGCAATAGCGCATCTGACCTTTCTGAAAGACTATTTGAACTATAAAGTAATCCAAGAAGTCCATAGTGACTGATCCTGTGTAGACCAAAGACATTTCAAAGGAGCGAGCATGGCTCACCAGGAACTATTTCTACTGAATTAACATATAAAATTTTTACATAAGTATATTTTCTGAGTTACAGCTTTGACCATGGAAATGAGATAAAGTCTATGACTGTCAGACTGACTGACATTTCTTTCTTGCGTTGTTGAAAGTATTTCTTCTTTAAACTGAAACTTAGCCATATATTTAATACAACAACGAATCCACATACACATACTACTAACTGGTGTGATCAGACACATCCTCAAAACATTTGGAATTTAAAGTCATGTCTGTCAGTTTGACACAAAGTTACCAAACACAAACTAGGTCACATGACTGCTTGATTGTTGTTTGCTTAATCTCCAGTGGCAACACTTGAGAATGAAAATACAAAATCTGGGTATTTTGGGTGAAACTGGAGATAAATATTTGTATTTTAAACTGTGAACATCATCATCTTTGCTGCTGCCAGAAAGATTACACATGAGAGCTATGAATTGGCAGGAAGGATGAAAGAGGACAGCTAACAGAACTAGCTTACAATTGTCCTTAACACTTTTAGTACTGAATTGTTTTTTGGCGTTTGTATAGCCAGATATTTTTTTAGTACGAGGGGTTTTGTGGTCGGAATTGATTTGACATGTGCTTGCAGAAAATTCGTCTCAGAACTATAAACAACAATCACCGCTATTTGGCATCGATTTTCGTTAAAATATTTTAAGGTTAAGTCGTATACTACTTGTTATGGGTTGTGGTGTAGTTTGGACGATTAGAAAATGAAGCAATCGTAACATTTAAGCTTTGATACGGGTGGTTTTCTTCATGACTGCATGTGTACAGAATCAATGACAGCGAAGGGAAGAGTTTCTTTTGACTGTTCCCCTTTTCGTGTTATAAACTTTTGTTCGATGTTTCTTTTTAGTTACAATGATTAATAGTAGGTGTCTATGACAACACAATAACTGATCGGAAAGCCGATAAAAGGTCGACCATGTATAAGTACCAGCGACTGAAATCCGCCATTTGCAGTGCTTTGTTCATGTCAACAACAATAAAAGACTACTCAACTGGCATTGGCGGACAACAAGTCTTTTATACGTTGCTATCATGTTTTTTTAGTCACTTGTGGTATTTCAAAAAATTTTGCTACCGTTCTATGACAAATAAAATGTGTATTTGTTCAATGATTGAACAAATAATCTGTCTTTTTGTCATAGTAGATTACCTTAATGACAAATAGAGTGACATGTCAAACAAAGTAAAAGATTATTTTAAAAAAAAATAATACTGGGTCTTACCAGGTATTTTTAGTTTAAAGTTTTTAAATATTTTCAAATTGAAATGGTAGAGTCAATTCATCTGAAAATGTTTCAAATAAACAACAGCAAATTGTATATTTTTCAAAAAATAGATAACACTAACAGTAATTTCTAATGGAATGGAACACAGTGAAATAATCTGGGAGACAGGAATGTTTTCAAGTCTAGACAGCCATACCTTTGTTTGTCTATGAGTGTCTTGCTGATTATTTTTCAACCTAATGTGGCAGACATGGCACCAAATTTTATTTACAAAGGAACCTGGCAGATGTCTATGTTAGACTGTCATCACATTGGACAAGTGATGGACGACCCTTCCTTACTCACCCCCCTGTATGTCCGCCTATAAAATCTGAAACCTGTTACCTTATATGGTTATGGATACTTTACAGTGATATTAAAACTGAAAGTAGACATGCATTTTTTTTCCATAATGCCTCCAGGCACCTTGAATGGGTTATGGCAAGCTGAGAAAAAAATATAGTTGATTTTCATGTATAAAACAGATCAACTGGTCTCAAACGTCAGGTCACAACCAGTGAAAATGATTTACTTACAAGTTCTTCTTGCCCGAGTTCAAAATAAAAACTTTTATAAGGGAATTGATTAGGCATAAAAGTATTTGCAACGATAATGCAAAAGCTGCAAAAACATATACCTTCCACGAATTCTTGTTGCACATAGGATGTTAACTTGTTTATATAAAAATAAGGAGCTGTGGTATGATTGCCAATGAGACAACTAGCCACCAAAGTTTAAATGAAGTGGATGTAAGCAATTATAGGCAACCGTACAGCCTTCAACCATGAGAAAACCCATACCGTATAGCCTTCAACAAGGAGAAAACCCTATACCGTATAGTCTGCTAACAAAGGCACTTAAATGAAAAATATAAAACAATTCAATTGAAAAAACTAACGACCTAATTTATAACAAAATAATTTAGGAAAGGACAGACATGAACCAACAACAACCACTGACCTACAGGCTCCTGACTTGGGACAGGCACATAAAGAATGTGGCAGGGTTAAACATGTTTAACTACTTGTTTGCCTACATGCACATAGACACAAGACATATCACAAGACTTTATGCTTTATTTCTACATCCATGAGTAGTACAACATTCACACAGATCACTGATAATTCACAATTGTTTGCACATTTGAACAAGAAGTCATAGAATTCAATTATAGAATTTACAGTTGTCAAATAATTTCTTACTAAATCACATTTTAGAATCATTTCTAATTTTTACCATTTAAAGTAACATGAATAAGCATTAAAGCAGACAGATATTTACCAGCAGAATATTGAGATAATACTGTTTATATAAAAATATAGACAAAAACTGTTTTACTTGAAATGTTAAGAAAGGTTTGCAAGATTTTCATTTTTTGTCTTTTTGGCTAAAACTATAAAATGGAAATAATATACTAAATTTTTTATTTACTCTACTACCATTTAGTTGTCCCTTAATCCAAAATCTAACTGGAATTAAAATAAAACATTTCATTGGTATATTCCACATTGCTTTTATTTCTTAAGTGTTCAGGTATTAACTGTGTGGAAAGATTCTGTGATCATCAAGTATTAAAACTAATCATCTTGCAATAAAATTTCCTATCACTATTAGATATAGCTTATAAATCTAATGAATTCTTTTTTTCCAAAGGCAATACAAATGTTACTCATTACATTTACAAGTTCAAATAAAAAAACACTTGCCATTTACATGATTTACTGAACATGGTGGAAGGCATTTACAAAAGTTTTGGAATGTCATATTATAAGTAGATTATATTGTATAATGGCAGATAACATTTCTCTTTTTAAAATAATGCAAATTATTGAAAAGACGCGACTTTATCTCATTATTGAAATTTTATATTTCATGTATATAACAATTCCCCTTATTTTTAATTTTGCAATTCTTTTGACATTTATGGTGACAAGAATTCAAAATCATTTATCTGTTTTATTTTTTTTTGCTTATATGGAATTTATAGCAATACATTTCTCTCTAACACAAAAAATTACAATACCATTTTTAACATTGGTTTTGTCTTTGACTTAATAATGATATATATCTCTCTAACTTGTACAAAATGTACTGGTGTAGTTGGAATGATATAAGGAATTAAACATGTTAAATGATCTTCTTTTTTCACAAAATATAGTACCATTTCCAATGACACAATAAAAGGATTCACTTCAATCAATGATCTTCATGAAATAATTTGAAGTTGTCATTTAGAAGGTTTCCTTTTCCTACAAACAAAAATAATGAAGTTCTTTTACTCATTCAAAATACATTGAATCAAAATGATAATTTGTTCATTAGTTTTTCTTTTGTTCTAACTTCATATACCTGAAAAGTAAATATATTAGGAATCACAAAACATACATTTTAACGTTTCATTTCTTATACAATGTACTAAACCATGTGGTTTATTAATGATAGGGAAGAAAATCTCACAATACACATCTCAGAAGATCAAAGAGAGAAACAAAGTATTATTCAATATCAACATACAACAGATATTTACAATTAGGAATATTTAGTAAAGAAATTAATAATAATATTGCACTTCTTCTTAATTGCCTACATGTGTATCAATGCTCAACTTTCAAAGAATTTTCCTGATAAAATTTCAATATCTTTATAAATAATCTGCAATGCAAAAAAGGAGAAAACAAATATCTGCTTATGGCAGTAACAGATGTTTTGTCATGGTGGTTTGTATCAAATGATATAAAAAAATAGTAGGTTTCTCTTTGTTAGAAAAGAAACACACTATATATTTAATTTGCGCGGCATGATTTTCCTAAGACATACAAAGCAAGTCATGGCACTGTAAGCAATTAAGATGGATTAATATATTTTGGGCAAGTACATTGCATCACAACATCAAAATAAGTAAATAAAACCTTATGACATAAGTAAAATATCAATATTTAAATCCTTTTTTGATAACTGGTCAAAATCTGATAAAATTCATTCACCATGTTTACCTTTCAAGTAAATATTCTGTTTCTGAAATGTCTTTAAATTCAAATTGGAAATTTTTTTATTTATATTTTTCTACATAGATGAGATCCACAAATATTTATACTGTTATTAACAAGGGAATAGTTAGCATATTTTTTGGATGTTTACTTATAATTCAAAGTTATTAATGCTGAATTTCTATACTTCTTTCGATTCTTAAGAATAAAAAGTTTCAGCAATAATAAATTTATACACAATGTTTGATGCAACACCAATTGAAGCAGAATATTTATCTTAAATGGTTAAAGTATGATCTGTTCTTGTGCAATGTAAGCTAAATACTTTGTTCAAGGTTCTAAGTAGTAAGTCATGTTTACAAGAAATATCGGTAGGTTAGAAGCTCAAGTCTAATACAAATACTTATGTTAATTATGAATATGATCTCTTCTTGTTCCCTTTCAATGATATCTTAAGTAGTTATATATAAACAATTAAGTTGAATGTATTATACTTTGTTCCCTGCATACAAAGTGCTAAATTTGATCAGAACCATTGTTTTACATATCATTTGCTTTAATTTTTTTTCAATCAAAGACTTATTGAAACTCTTTCCACCTATACATATGAAAGTTGAACTCCATGATTTTGATTTAAAAGTTAAAATATATTGATGAAGGAAGAAAATTCATCAACTATAAAAAATAAAATGTCTGATAATTTTCTTAGCTATTCAATTAAAGAACACATAAAATATATTGTAAAAATATAGTAACAGAAAAAGAAAACAGTAAGTAAAAAAATAATCTGGTCCCTTTTCAGCGATGTCTACCCTTTCTGTTATAATAAATAGAAGGACTGCACAACATATACAAAATGAGCATCACTGTTTATGAGCATGTCTGTACATGACTATTTACATGGTTTATATACACAAATATCATAAATTGTCTACACAATAATCTTCTCAAGCCTCATTGGTTCTTTTTGTCACTAACTAAGTATCTGAAAAAAAAGAATAAAATAATAATGCATTTGTCTTTTTATTTGGAAAGTCTATTCTGGTAATGCAAATTATAAAAAAACTCATTGAACTTCAAGCTATTGCTCACAATTATACACCCACTGTAAGTATTCAGTAACAGAAATTGATTATCAATTATGTGAAAACGCATCACACTGTATAGCATGCTCACATGAAGCTTGATTCCAAATTTCAGAAAGTCCTGATTTGTAGTTTCTGAGAAAATGTGCCAAAAATTTCATACATGACCATGTTGTGTAAGAATATATATGTATTCAGTTAACAGTAATTTGTTGAGTGATAAATCTGAAAATGCATCATATAATGAAGTGTGATACCAAATCACAGGAAGCTATGATTTGTAGTTTCTGAAAAAAGAGCAACAACAATTTCATGGGATAGACAGACATTTAAAACATGTATTAAAACCCCCTCTTATCAGTTCATCAAGGCAATAAACAATTCTGAATTCATCACAACTTTCTATGTAATGATAAGCCATATGTGTATAAAGTTGAACTGTGTTTAGTTGTTTGTGAACTTGACATTGCAAGAAGACATTCCTACTTATTTCTTGGTACAACTCTTCGTGCAATTCAACATTTATCTTGAGTATATAATTAATATTTTTCAAACCAATCTCTGTGACATAGAGGAAAGTTTTAGGATAACAATGTTTACTCTACTTTTGTAGTAATATTTTTATTTTTAATGCCATTTTTCCTTGTGCACATTTGAACTCTATACCCATTTTCGAAAAGCAATTAAAATGAGTCTCTCTGCTCTTTCTTTTCAGATTGCTGAGATTAATTTTTCTATTTTGAAATGTTTATTATGTTTATTTCTAAATAATTTAATTTTGGATGTAACACATCTTCTGATTGGCTGGAAGTGTTTTATCTATCAGCTCATAGACATAATTTTGTCATGTAGCTGTGACGTCATCAACGTTTTTATCCTGATTTACTCATTTTTAGAATTAAATTATAAGGAATGACTGTAATATTTTTTCTGTCTATTCGAAATAACCTTAAAAATGTGGTGCACACTTTAAAATAACTCACTACGCGAGTTATTCAGTGTGCTCCACATTTTTTATGTTATTTCTTCATAGACAGAAAAAATATTACAGTCATTCCTTAAACGCAGACGATCCTAAGATCTAAATCAAACTAGATATCATTGAGATGGGAGCTATCTCTGTGGGCCCCACTGTGAATAATGTGTGGTAAAAAATTTGTATCTTTATCATTGGACATGGGGTTGTCAACTGAAACCCAAGTTTATGGCCTTGACCTTTGACCTAGGAAGTTGTACATAAATTATGACACACCCTCTGGTGTTGGTTTATATACATGTCAAGTATAAACTTTGAAATCATAACGGTTCTCAAGACATAGAGCGGACACAATCTTTACCATAGGACATGGGGTTGTCAACTAAAACCAAAGTTTTCGACCTTGACCTTTGACCTAGGAAAATGTACATACATTATGACACACACTCTGGTGTTGGTTTATATACATGTTAAGTATAAACTTTGAAATCATAACGGTTCTCAAAATATAGAGCGGACATGATCTTTACCATAGGACATGGGGTTGTCAACTAAAACCAAAGTTTTTGACCTTGACCTTTGACCTAGGAAGTTGTACATAAATTATGACACACCCTCGGGTGTTGGTTAATATACATGTCAAGTATAAACTTTGAAATCATAACGGTTCTCTATAGAGCGGACACAATTTGTTAAGGATGGATGGATGGATGGACGGACGGACGGACGGACAGACTGATCACTATAGGGCGTCCGCCTTTGGCGGGGCCCTAATAAAATGTGAATAAAGACATGATTGTTCACCGATCTATATACAATTTTTCAAAAATTAACAATAATCTCACATAAAACCGATTCCTCCAGTATCAAAATATTGATGTTAATCAGCAAAATAAGTGAACGGCAAGAAAATGCAACACTGAATTTGCAACAATCAAAACATACACTGTTTCCTGCATATTAAAAATCAAGTTGCTATAATTTCCATTTGAATGCAAATATGAAAAAAAACTTTTTAAAAATTAACTAGAAAACTGACATGTCAGCAAGGGCCCCACTGGTATATTTGTGTGAGGCACAGAAGAAAAAGTTTTATACTGATGCAAACAAAGCAATGCATGCTTGTGGGTTATCAATATTTCTTGCAATTTGTGGTACAAGCAGATATGTAATTAAGCTCCTCATGAAATACAAATTTTTCTTTTGAGATCTAAAGTATTAACCTAAAAATCATGATTTTTAAATCCCATGAACTGACATTTTCATAAACCACAAAAGTTGAAGAATATCTATGATAAAGTTTGTGATTTTTAAACAAAATTTTTTTCCCCCAAATGAATGAGCTGAATTTCACCAAAATACAATATGCACATCTAAATATTATGCACAACTGTCCATAATTTCATTGGTCTCCTACCTATACTTTTGGAATTTGTGTTTTGAGTATTTATACTGAAAATGCTTTTAAATACTAACCCTTCTTAGAAAAGTCCACAGTCTTTAAGATTGTTTTTAATGATGACATCAGTGACAGCATCAAACACAAACTGTACATTGTTTGTATCTGTGGCACATGTAAAGTGGGTGTAGATTTCCTTGGTATCTTTTCTTTTGTTCAGATTCTCAAATTGTAACTGGATATAGGCAGCTGCTTGTTCATAATTATTTTCACCTTTAAATAAAATATAGAACAAATTCTAAATCAGGAAAAAAATAATTTGGAGATCTCATTTTCTGTGTGAGTCTGAAAAATACTGCTTTACTGATCATGACTGAATTTTATGTTGAGTCTTTTAAGATTTTACTAAAGTTATTACATAAACTTAACACTACATAAACTTAACACTATCAATCATTTTTGTGTTTTAAGATATGTTGCAGGGTGAGGAGGGATATTATATCATGATAAAACAGGCTTCCTGTCTAGACAATTATTGATGAGGTGTAATAATGGAATATTTTTGGTAGATATTCAAAATTGTTTCATTTTCGAGCTCAGATCAATTTCCAGTAGATGAAAATAAAGTTATATGTAAGCAGAATTGTATCATTTCAAAATTTGATATAATTTTTGTATTATATGACGAAAATTACTGTAAATTCAGAAATTATTGCGAGATTTTTATTAATGCAAATAATGGGACTAGGTGAGTATCGCAATAATAAGAACTTGCATTATGGTATCTGATGCATATACATGTATGCAGTTTTTTCTGAAATCCCAATAATTAATCTCGCATTGGTGTCCATTCTTAAAAAATCACAATAATAAATGCATGCAATAATTTCTGAATTTACAGTAGTTAATTTGCAGGCCTTTATTGAGCAGTTTCAACATGTATCAACATTTTTCAGACATTTTTATATAGTAACGCCTTTGTTCTAATAAATCTATAAAAAGCATATATCATGATTATTATAAAGAAAATGAAGAAAATATTCAAACAAATGTCTTTCTGATATTGTTACATCATAGTTTGCAGAAATATCACTTTCCATCCAAAGTTTATTATGTAATTCATTCAATGTGTAATTTTGGACAATATTCCATTTTTTTTATGTTAGCCCTTTAATACCATTCTCTTTCATTGATATTATCATACACAAAATTGAAAAAAAAAATACATTAAATTTTATTATTGATTTAAGTTATCTCCCTTGAAACTTTATTTATTCCCTTTGAAAGTAATGAAATATCCAACAAACAAGCATCAAATGCTGGAAATTAGGCACAAATATTGTTGCCATGTCAATTTTTATACGTCCGTTTACGGGACGTATTATGGTATATGGTTGTCCGTACGTCATCCACATGTCAAACAATAACTCAAAAACGCTTTAACCAATTTGCAAGAAACTTTGGTGAATTGTTTATATCTATTGAAGTGAGCTCCCTTTCGTTTTTCATAAATTTTAGATTTTTTGTTTCCTAGTTATGGGGGTTTTATTCATTAAAAAAGGGGGATTTTCAGTTTTCGGACAATAACTCAAAAATACTTTTACCAATTTGCAAGAAACTTTGGTGAATTGTTTATAACTATTGACATGAGCTCCCTTTCAATTTTTATAAATTTTAGATTTAATGTTTCCCAGTTATTGGGTTTTATTCATTAAAAAAAAGAGGGATTTTCCAGTTTTCAGACAATAACTCAAAAACACTTTCACCAATTTGAAAGAAACTTAAATGAATTGTTTATATCTATTGACATGAGCTCCCTTTCGATTTTTATAAATTTTTTATTTTAAGTTTCCGAGTTATGGGTTTTTATTCATTAAAAAAATGGGGATTTTCCAGTTTTCAGACAATAACTCAAAAATGATTTCAGCAGTTTTTATGAAACTTTGGTGAATTGTTTATCTCTATTGACGTAAGCTCCCTTTCGATTTTTATAAGTTTTAGATTTTACTTTTCCAAGTTATGGGATTTTATTCATAAAAAGGGATGATTTTCCAGTTTTCAGACAATATCTTTTAAGTGCTTTCAGCAGTTTTCGTGAAACTTTGGTGACTGGTTTATATCTATTAAGATAACCTCCATTAAGTTTTTTTTTAAATTTCTGATATGACATTGAGAAGTTATTGAACTTTATTCTTTGAAAAAGAGACGGGCGTATAATGCGCTCATGGCGCAGTTGTTTATTAATAATGTACTGTGGATTCAAATTTTTTTTTATGAATACCTATATTCATGCATCTAGAAAAACTTGTTGGTACTAAATTTCAAGGTTTTATATTTTCGGCAAATAAGCATACAGGAAAAACATTTGTTCTTTTTTTTTGAACAGTTAATTTGTATTAAACCTTTACCCTTGAAATCCATGAAAATATGTTACCCACATATAATAATGAATATGAAACTGCATTTATAGAATCATTTAAAAATAATTTCTAAATGCATACTAAAGTGGTCTTTCTTTATTTTATACAATCATGACAGTTGTTTTTATAGTTAGGCCCATCCCAGAGAGAAATCCTGGTACTTGGTTGGCATGAGTAATCAAATAACCGTTGAATTTAGGGCTATTCAGTAAATACGTAATGGAATTGGTATTGGGGTTAGAAGAAAGTGCCTCCAAAGAAATATTTCTGAAATATCCCTTGCAAGTTTTGTGGGGATTACAGCTTTTCATTTTCGGTTTAATGGAAATCAATCAGCTTCCTTTTTCTAATAAAGGAAAGGCCTTTTGTCTCTTTAGCATGGACCTTCTTACTAATGCTGAACAAATTATGTGATTGGACTAATTGTTTAATACTGATTACCTGGTAATGTTATATGTTCACTTATATGAATTACAAGCTTGTATCTCTACCAGATATGCTATGGAAAGGTAGTGTTAGACTTCTGTTATTTTGATATTGAGCTAGTTAAGGTGGACAGTCATGCATTGCAGATGGCTCTCCTTAGAGGGATTCATTTCATCATTGTTTCAACACAAAGTTGTTGGCATGTATATTCTAGAAACGTTTTCGGTAAGTATTATTGTGATATTTCAGGAGAAAATCAAATGATACTGTCATACATGGTGTGAAGAAGTATATTCTTGTTGTCCACCATTTAGATGTTAAAGTGCTTTGTGTAAAGGCTTCAGGGAGTAATGACTTACCTGCAAATTCAGGGAAACAGAGAGTAAGTGCGGATTTCTTAATTTTCTCTTCAAATAAATCTTTCTTATTGAGGAAAAGGATGATTGATGTATCTGTAAACCATTTGTTGTTACATATCGAATCAAACAGTTTCATACTCTCCATCATACGGTTCTGTAAATATATAATTCCTTCATATCATTTTTATCTTGGATTTATAAACAGTAGCTTGAAGGCTTTCTGTATTAAGGAATGACATAAAATCAAACTCTGAACAAGATATCTTCAAGAGTTAAATCTTCATAAGTGAAAGCTTAATTCTTTGCTTTTACATGTAAATCAGGATGGCTTAATATTACATTGCTATGGAATAACTTTGTTTTACCTGATGTGATTTTCATGTTAAGGCTGTTCCATAAAAACACATATTGGACCTAAAATATGGCACTTTGAAATCTTAACTAAGGGGAGTGTCAAATGCTCTTTTGTACAGTGAAATTCTATATGTGGTTACCCCATTTTGTAAGTTCCTTCATTAGGTGATTTAATGGAACAGCCCTTAGTACATGATTATATATATAGAGCATGTAGAGTGAGAGATATCTTAACCAACAATCAATGTGAATATCACTTGTGTTCAGGTGAATACAAATGCTGTTTTATTTAAAATACAATTTATATAAAACATCCTACAAAAATAATCCCAATATGGAATAAATCCCTTCAATTTCTTTCGTAATACTTATATACCGTGATATTATTCTGTGTGTTCTGTAACAATACTTTAAACTGATTTTTATCTTAGTTTTCCACAACAATACTCTGAGCAGTGTTATTCTTATCTTTCTTTCGCAACAATACTTTGACCTGTGTTATTTCTCTTATGATATGAATTATTTCCCTTTATTTTTTTAATACTTTTAACTATGTTCCTTTTCTTTGTATTCTTAAACAGTACTTAGAACTGTGTTATTTTTCTTCCTTTATGTTACAAAATTTGATATCCTACCATTTCCTGATCTTCCACCAATGTCAAGTCATATTCACTCATGGCTACGATAAATATAATGGCTGTTACTCCTTCAAAACAATGAATCCATTTCTTTCTCTCTGATCTCTGACCTCCTACATCAAACATTCTGAAATGAAAACATTGAATAGCTGAAGTCTAATGATATCCAACTTAAAACAAAATCTCAACACTTCTTCAGCTATAAAATATATTGTTATAATATACATGATGTAGTAAGTCTATAATAGCAGCAAGTTTCTTCTTTATCATATTATACTGATCATTTCTTGTTTAAATTGTTTCAAATTTATAAAATGCCAGAAGTACCATGGACAGATAAGCACAGTTGGGATCTTTAAGGATTTATTGTAGAAGAAACAGATTTTTTAGTTGGGTACTAATTGTTTTGGTTTTTGCAGATGAAGGCTGTAAAGTCTGCTGACCATTTATGTATTATGTAAAATAGGTATTGTGACTGAACTTCAACCCACTGACCAATATCTACAGATTTGTTGCTCTTTCCAAGGGTATTTTCAAGCTAAGATTGGTAAATGTATGACGGGTTGTTCAAAAGTCATAATCTGGAACCAAAATGTTGCCCTAATTTGAGTCTATCAATTACTTGACCATGATCTAGTGACCACAAAATCAAGAGGTATTCTTAATCCAATCAGGAATAAAAACACCAAGTTTGGTTTCCAAGACGCTTGTTCTTTCCAAGGAATATTTTATCATTAAATTAATCTGTTCACAAAGTGGCTTTAATTTTGATTTAAAAAGAATGCATGTTTGAAGTTCAGCAAATTTATTTTTTCACTATCATTTGTCACAGACTCTCAATTGAAATCTTACTTGTTATATCTTTTATTTCTTTAAATTATGAAATATAACTTTATTATCATGATTATCATTGAAGGTAATTATGATTGATAAAATAATACACCAAGTTTAAGTTCTCGGAAGATTCTGCTTATGTTTAGGTCATATTTCTAGAGGCTAAATTTTAAGTAAATGGCCAGATTTCTATATTTAGGAGGGATTTATACGTAGATTGCAATGAATAATTCAGAAGGATACAGTCAGTTTAAATTTTATTTCTGATTCTGTGAACACATTATCAAAATGTATCCTAACGTACTGCACTTATATTTATACATAAATTCAAACCATTTGAACTGTAAGGGCATCAAGTTCGTATTAAAAAGGAAGATCATTAATCAAGAAAACAATTCATTTAAAAATAGTCCCTTTATTAAGAAAAACAAAATTTTCTTGTCTTCAAGGTTCATTTTCTGCCAGAAAAAAATATCCGTTTGTGCATGGTTTTGATAGATTTTCAAGAATATTCCTATTCTATTTGCCAATACATTCTATTATCTGATATTTGTATACACAATAAAAATTATAAAATTTACATTAACTTAGGGTTTTGTATTTTGAAATAATATTACTAAAGCCGAATTCAGATTAGGTCAAGTCTACTGTAGTGAGAAAATGAAACAGAATTGTGTAAACCAGTATACCCACTCCATTTGAAGTGGAAGTACAATTTATACAAATATATATATATGTATAAATTTAGTTATATATAGTTTTAATTCAGTGTTTAACCATCAAAAAAATTATAAAAACTAAACTCCACATATAGCAAAGACAGTTTTCTCAATAAGAGCCGGCAACCAGCAAAATCCGCCGCCTATTGCGGTGTTTTGTGCCGGCTATTAATTCATTAACAAAAATATGACATACGCGAAAATCGCATAGTCGGGATCTGTCGTACATCTTTTTTCTACTAACTGGTTCCGACTCGTCCATCAGGCATAAATAACACAATAGTAAACGTAAACCAGTTTTAAATCATTTGAGTGTTTGAAACAAAGCGATAAACTCTGTACAAATGGAAATTGATGTTGATGCGGATATTTTAGACAGCTCGTTGCATCCTCAAACATGAAGAGAACGATCAGTGATTAATTTTAGCGTGAGTCAGATTTACAGTAAAGTAAAGATAAGAAAGCTCGCTTAGTGTATCTTACATGGATTTAAACTTGTGGGCATTTATGTATTCTATTGTATAATCAACGGAGTATAAAGTAAAATAAAACACGGTGAAATCAGTCAACATCTGACGAATTCTAGTCACTTCGGAATGTGGTTAAATCGGCACCCAGTATACTCAATTCGGAACCTAGTCAAATATACGTTGACTATATATTGGTTTTAGTATTTTAAGCAAAAAAATTTAAAAAAAGAAGGGGGATGGCCAGAATTAATTATTGTATATAATCAAGTTCTTCTTGTTTCTATGTGTATTTTCTTCGGTCAACTATATGTGTATTCAAGGTATTGGATATTTATTATGCATGTTTTAACCAGTTGATATTGATGACCGGGACTAATAGTTTGCCCTTTTATTGCTTCTTATTTATTCATGATTAAACAACAGCTTGGGTAATGGCTTCATTGGTTTTAATTTAAATTTTTGAAGAAAAAAAGGTAAGAGTTCCATATGGCACCCCCACCATACAAAAAGAACACAATAATGTATTACAGTTTATTCCGTGGGGGTGCCATATGGAACTCTTTCCCATTTTACTTCTTAATAACAAGATTATTTTTAACAATGTACTGAACAAAATAAAATCCAACCCCAATTTTTATTCTAAATAATTAAAAAGCAGAAAACAGATAAACCTTATTATTTGGTGCCGAACTGACCAACTAAATGCCGAAATGACTTTAAAATAGGTGCCTATTTGATCAGATGCCGATTTGACTTTTTCGATAGGTGCCGATTTAACTTGTACCCTCTGACCAAAAAAGATGATTGAGTGTTACCTTATAAACTGTTGACACGACAGAGTTCCTATTTCCTGGATTTAAAATTTATTATTTTTCTAGCCATATTTTGTCAGGTGCTTACTGCGGGTTGAAAGTTTCCAAAGGCAACTCTGGTTTCCTCTAAATATAAATCTTAGCAGTTTTTGAATAACTGAATAAAGCATAAATTAATGTTCTCAATGAATTCTATTTGAAATTATAACACAAGACACTAAGAAATAATATGAAGTGAAGACACAATTATAAGTGCTATTCCAGAAATGTTTGTATGGTACGGGGGAGGCACATCAATAATAAAAAAAAATGCATGGGCTACTTTACAATATTTTCCCAATCAAAATTTAAAATTAAGGAAATATGAATTAAAATTTTATTCAAATAAAAAGTGCTTTTCCCTCTCCAAACAATCAATTCTGGAAAAGTCCTTAGTGATGAAGACTAAGAAGAACATTGAACATGGAAAGGGGTGAAGAAAGCCATGTCATATAAAATCTGCAAAAAAAATCACATTAATTTTCAATTTTTGAGGAAAAATTTAAATAAGCTACTAAAAATGGACAAATTAACATGAAGAATAAGATGTGAAAATCTACTCAGAACAGCCCAGATGCCACCTCCTGCAATCTAGATTTTCAAAATTTTCTCTTAAGATACCCCCCTCTCGAACTAACCCCCTCTCGCACATGCAATGCTCGCTTCGGGCCTTGTGGCCCTCATGATTGCCTGCTACTTTTATTTTTCTTCCTCTTATTCAAAATCTTATTGAGAACACTGAAAGACCTATTTTCAGTGCAAGTTTTCATAAATAACCTAATAAATTTAACAAAAATTCTCCTGTTTAACATAAGGCTTTGGGCAATACAAAATCAAGTTAAAATATAGTACAGAATAGTACATTTGTTCCTTACTTGAAATGTAGATCTTTAAATGTAAAATGTGTCTCTACAATTCCTGTGGTTTTAACTCTGGTTCGCAATACATCCTGTTCCGTGGGAATATATGAAGGCTGAGAGATTCTATCTAAGGAATTCAAATAACTGCAAGTAAAACAATATCTGGTTAAAATTCTACGTCTCATAATATGAATAATGAGTTTTAAAACTTATTAAATTTAATATTATGGTCTTTCATGTGTGTTATATGGTAATTGCTCTTTTATTGACATATACCCAACATCGCCTTTTATTCATATCTTGTTGCACATTTTGCAAGAATAAATCTATTTCTAATTATCAAAAGAGTACTGCCTGATAAATCATCTATATGACTAGTATCCTTATATCATAATAGGTTCTAGACTTATTGGAAGCGCAATCAGATCATAAACTAATGCAGGTCTTACAATTGCTTCATAATATACTTTTCTTTGAGTACACAATATGTATGAATTTGAAAGTTAATGACAAGTAGATGTGAGGCATATACATGTATGTTTTTTAATGAGAGAACTAAATTAATTGTTATCTTTCTCAATTAAATATTTTTTAAGTAAATATTCTATCTATAAATATAAAAACAAACTGCAGACTTTTTCAACATGTGTTCATACAGATCTACGAATTCTAAAAAAAAAAATCCGTATTTTTTTGTAAAAAGTTACATAAAATGAAACTAAATATATATATATAAAGTAGAGGGTACCTTTGCTTTAATCAAAATTAAATTAAACATGTTCTGAGGTGGCAGACATACTAGATTTAGGAATGACACAAAAACAACTAATTAATAAGAAAATAGATTTTCGTCATGAGTTTATTTAGGGAGGAAATAGATGATTAGATGTAATTCTACAACTGAAGTGTAGATTTTTCATTGAAAATAGATTTTAAAGTAGACAGATTATAAATGGTAACAAAACCTTACAAGCATTCTCAAATTTGTTAATTACCATGATTACCAGGAAAATTTCTTCTTATATAATTAAGACATTAGTATTTTTAAAATAATCAATTTTCATACATGTACGCATTTCACAACTTATAAATGGGTTTGGTTCTTTTTATTTATTACTAAGCAAACTTCCTGTTCAAATTGATATATGATATACATGTATCCACAAAATAAAGGACATGGCATAGAGGAATGATAGGTTTTTATCCTTAAATTCAACAAAAGACAATTTGCATATTAAATTCTTCCTGTTACGTCTAAATCTAGTGATAAGTTTTTTCATAAACAACCCTTGTCTAGTAACAAAAATATTTTCATTGATTTTATCAACAAAGAAAGATTCTTATGGGCTACAAAATCACATCATTTCAACATAATTTATGATAAAAGTGTTAATTTGTTGTGAAGTTACAAAAAAACATTCAATGTGAACTATAATGTTCAAAAGTTCGTAATTAAACAACTACTCAACTTGTGTCATCAAAAAACCAAACAAACAATAGTAATAAAATAGAAGTGCAATTGTAGTTTATACTTCAAGTGTAGCATATGATAACACTTAAAGCAGCTCTATATCATGTATATAAACCTTATTCATAACTCTATATAAAACATTATTTGTAATGGATAATACAACTAAGTTTTTTCTTAATACATGTAATAATTTCCATCATTCATGTTTTCTAAAAATATATTTTAAAGAAGTTACATAAACTAAAATTAAATATAGAAAGTAGAGGCTAGTTTTGCCTTGACAAGAGTTTAATCAAATATTATTTGAAGTGGCAGTCATACTGGATTTATGAATGACACAATTGATTATTCCAGGCAAGATGTGTTCCTGACTTTTCTCAGATTGTCATTGTGTCTATTGTTATTTCAAACTGGGCTGGTCAATACTAAAATAAATGTGGATAGTGTCCACATGTGGACAGATGATGCCCCCGCTTGCATAGCATATAGTTATAAAGGGACATAACTGAAGAAGGTAAAAGTGACGCTACCCAAATTTGAACTTGATCTGAGTTTTGTGGTAATAAGCATTGTGTGTAAGTCTCATAACATTTGGTTGAGGCTAACTTAAGTAGAGAACAGAAACTAAATATTCAGCAATTTTTCTATTTGTAAACAAGCATAACTCTAGAACAGTTGTGCATAAGTTTTATAACATTTGGTTGAGACAAACTAAATTTAGAGAACAGAAACGAAAAATTCAGCAATTTTTATGTTTATAAAGGGACATAACTCAAGAATGGTAAAAGTGTTCTCACCAAATTTCGTACTTAATCTGTATTATGTAGTAATAAGCATTGTGTAGAAGTTTCATAACATTTGGTTGAGGCAAAGTAAAGTTAGAAAACAGAAACAAAAAATTTGTACTTGATCTTAGTTTTGTGGTAATGAATATTGTGTATAGGTTTCATAATGTTTGGTTGGGGCAAACTTAAGATACAGAATGGAAACTAAAAATTTTGTAATCTTTCGATTTATAAAGGGGCATAACTCAATAATGGTTAAAGTGACACTACCCAAATTCAACTTGATCTGTGTTTTATCAGTGGAAGTGAAAATTAAACATTGCATTGTATAAAGCATTGATTGTAGTATTCAACTATAATCATGGACAAAGGAAGATAACTCCAATTTTAAAAACTACTTGATTTTAAGAAGAAAATAAAAATTTTGCAATTTTTCCATTTATAAAGGGGCATAACTCTAGAACAGTTAAAGTCATGACACCAAAATTCAAACTTGATCTGTGTTTTGTGGTAATAAGCATTGTGTATAAGTTTCATAACATTTGGTTGAGGAAAACTTTAGAGAACGGAAACGAAAAATTTTGCCATTTTTAAATTTATAAAGGGGCATAACTCTAGAACTGTTAAAGTGACACCACCAAAATTCAAACTTGATCTGTGTTTTGCGGTAATAAGCATTGTGTATAAGTTTCATAACATTTGGTTGAGGCAAACTCAAGTTAGAGAACGGAAACCAATTTTTACGTACGTACGTACAGACGGACAAGGGTAAAACTTAATGCCCCCACCGCTACGGCGGGAGCATAAAAACCCTGCATTTTGATGACATGAAAAAGGACGACACCTGTCTTGTGACATCACAGAGAAAAGGAGAATGTCATTACTTATATTTAGTCTAACAAGAGTGCACACGCTGAAATGTCTCACCTTCTTTACTAATCATTGATATTATGTTGATAGTCCTAAATATAAAGCTTTATTACAACTGTCACATAAACTTAACATTAACCAAGTAAACTAAACATTGACCAATGAACCATGAAAATGAGGTCAAGGTCAGATGAACCATGCTAGGCAGGCATGTACAGCTAACAATTCTTCCATACAACAAATATAGTTGACCTATTGCTTATAGTTTAAGAAAAACAGACGAAAACACAAAAACTTAACACTGAGCAATGAACCTTGAAAATGAGGTCAAGGTCAAATAAAACCTGCGTGACTGACATATAGATCATAAAATATTTCCATACACCAAATATAGTTGAACTATTGCATATAGTATTAGAAAAAAAGACCAAAACTCAAAAACTTAACTTTGACCACTGAACCATGAAAATGAGGTCAAGGTAAGATGACACCTGCCAGCTAGACATGTACACCTTACAATCATTCCATACACCAAATATAGCTGACCTATTGCATGCAGTATTAGAAAGAAAGACCAAAACTCAAAAACTTAACTTTGACCACTGAACCATGAAAATGAGGTCAAGGTCAGATGACACCTGCCAGCTAGACATGTACACCTTACAATCATTCCATACACCAAATATAGTAGACCTATTGCATACAGTATAAGAAAAACAGACCAAAACACAAAAACTTAACTATAACCACTGAACCATGAAAATGAGGTCAAGGTCAGATGACACCTGCCAGTTGGACATGTACACCTTACAGTCCTTCCATACACCGAATATACTAGACCTATTGCTTATAGTATCTGAGATATGGACTTGACCACCAAAACTTAACCTTGTTCACTGATCCATGAAATGAGGTCGAGGTCAAGTGAAAACTGTCTGACAGGCATGAGGACCTTGCAAGGTACGCACATACCAAATATAGTTATCCTATTACTTATAATAAGAGAAAATTTAACATTACAAAAAATCTGAACTTTTTTTTCAAGTAGTCACTGAACCATGAAAATGAGGTCAAGGACATTGGACATGTGACTGACGGAAACTTCGTAACATGAGGCATCCATATACAAAGTATGAAGCATCCAGGTCTTCCATCTTCTAAAATATAAAGCTTTTAAGAAGTTAGCTAACGCCGCCGCCGCCGGATCGCTATCCCTATGTCGAGCTTTCTGCGACAAAAGTCGCAGGCTCGACAAAAATCATAAGCTATCATTGATAAATCTCAAAAACATGAATATTTAAAAATACTACTACCATGACTAGTCAACAATGGTCAACATGATCAAGCTTCAAGCATGAAAATTTTAAAAATAACAGGTATTGATTAGAGAAATATAAACACAATGGTAGAACCTTACTACACAAATTTTTTCTCACAATAAATATGACTACATGCTCAAATATTCCAATTACTGTGGTTAATTTCATCCTGACAATTGCATCACTTACTATTCCGCTGAATCATTTAACTGGTATTCTCTTGATCGACTAAAACATTCCTGTACCCCAGAATCTTTCCATAGTCTCTTCATGATAGCTGCTAGTTCTGGTGACAGCTCACCCTCATCAGCATTACCCATTAATGCAAATAACTGTCTAGCATCATCCTGAAAAAGATAAAAATAGTCATGAAACTTAAAAACAAAAACAAACTGGATGTACTGTGAGCTATTGCCAACTAAAAAAAATTTAATACCCTGTAATCATGGTTATATAGTTATCCAGGAAACAAAACGTTGATGAGGGACTCATAAAAAAAACAAAATTACACAGTATATAAAAATAATGAGATGTGGTATACCTAAGTGCCAATGAGACACCTCTCCACAAGATACATAATGACGTAGGATAGCATGCTCACATGAAGCTTGATACCAAACCTTTGAACACTTGATTAATAGTTGCTGAGAAAAAGGCAATGAAACTATGTGTAAGAATATATATGAGTATTTGGTAAACCAGAACTTGATGAACGATACATGTGAAATCATATCACATGGTTTAGCATGCTCATAAAGCTCGATACCATATTTCTGGAAGCTCTGATTACAAAAGCCACAAACATAACATGGCACAGACAAACAAACAAACAAAGAGAAACCTGTATTGCCCCTTTCTTCAGAGTGGGGTACCATATATATAAAAATACTTATACCTAATGTCAATCACAATAATATATATAGCAGAACTTCTACCCCCCTTAACAAAAAATTACCTAATCAAATTATCATATTCAGAATTGTCAGAAATAATCAATACTTGACATAGTTACTACATGTAATAGAAATATTTTTTTTTATGTGAATCTACATGATTCATGAATTACAAATTTTGACGAAAATAATGATTTAAACTTTAAAAGCTGTTTGGAAGTACAAATGTAGAATGATTGTAAGAGAGTGAGGTATGATTTTAGAATGCATGTATCATAAGCCATACATTAATTCAGTTGTAAGCTTACATTCAGTTTTGAAAGAATGCTTGGATATGGAGTTAAACCTTATGTGGTACTTCTTTTGCCACATTTAGTTGTTTTTAGTATTTTGTAAATAATATAATTAAGACTGAATTCTATTGTTCACTTTTATCTGAATCTCTTCTTTTTTTCTATGGTCAGATGCATGTTTGTTTCCACATAACATGTTCACAGCTCTATCTAACTAAGACAAACTGTGTTTTCATAAAAATATATACAAATCATTATTATCTAATAGTCAATTCCATTTAATTTGTATTTTTACACACATAATTTTGGTTCATTTAACACATTGAATATTTCTAGCCATTTAGATTTACTAGTGTGATTATTCAGCCATTTACTGACCAAACTAAATTATCTTACTGGACATTGCTCAATGCCAAATGACCTCTGAAATGATTCCATACTACACTTTTTTTTTAATGTTATATGACATATAATTTCATCTTGTACTGTTTTTTCCCCAAGGAACAATATTTGAATATTCTTTATTTCCTTTCTTTCCTCTGATATAACATCAAAGTAAATTTTATCATGTATTTATATTGTAAATATAGCTCTAGAGTCTTTTTTAAAAGTATAAGCAAATAGTCCTCATATTTATTTAGAACACATTAACAAACAGATTAAGTTTTTACACTCCTAATACCAGAAAGAATTTGATACAAACAATCACAAACAGAGGTTTAAATTTCTAATCCGTTCCATCTATTATAATCATTTCGTGTTATTAATATTTACATTCATAAGGAAGGAAAAGCCTTTTATATTACTATGTCATATGAACATACAGGAACTCAATGGGAAATTACGTAAATTCAGGTCCAGGTTCAAATATCCATTCCTTACGTATGAATGGATCTTAGGATAGTGTGTTTTCATTCAAAAGAGATACCGGTTTTAAAACTTAAATTCTATATAAAAATTAATTAGCATTTATTTGTGTTCTACTCACAAATTACAATGGCCAAGGCTCTTCCATATCTATAGCTACTATTAACAACCAGCACAAAGTTTGAGAAAAACACAATCTTACAAGCATGTGGATTTCTAAACCAGAGACATTCTAACAGTTCAGAGTACTTAATTATGTATACATTGTAGTATAATCTGAAGTAAGGGCCAAGATATTCTACAGAATTCAGACTTAGTTGCCTGTTTAGTCTTATCATTTTTTCTTTTGATTGTTAACCCAAATTATAAAGAATCGGTGAAAACCTGGTTGATTAAACATGTTAAACCTCATGCAGGTTTCTATATTACCTAATTAGGGCTCTTTTTAGATATCAATTTAAAACAAATTTAACACATAGATTGTCAGTAGTAATAAAACTGACAAATAAGAAAATCCACCACTTTCACAGAAGATTGGAAGATAACTCAAACAATTGCTGTGATAAGTGGTATATTTTCTGGTGGGTTTGAACTCACCCCTACTGAAAAATGGTGATTTTCAGTGTTTTTCAATTTTAATACGACCTTGAGAGGTGAAAATGACCAAACTGTGTTTCTTTGTCATTCAAGTATTACCTTATAGTTACAGCAGTCCATCCATTCTGACTGAAGTAAATGTGCCTAAATGTCCACTTTTACAGATTTCTGACAAAATGGTGACCTAGATTTTACAGACCAGATTTTTTTTAGTTAATACCTACAGCCCATACCAGTAACGTAGTGGCCTTCAAAAGGCTCCCCACCCACCTTATTTTGGCTACTTTTCATGTTTTTCCGATTTTGAACTCTATAAAGGCCATTAAAGTTGCCATATTTTCTTTAACACACATCTGACAAGAGTTTATGGACCATTAATTGCATGGTTGAAGTCCCTGATGTCAAGACAGTTCAGCTGGGGCAGTTTTAAAAAAGTATGGAGGGTCATACAGGCCATCAATGGTGGTCGCCATCACGACTACAGACGGGATTGGGCGAAGGGGTTAAGAGGTGTTTCATAGGGTTTTAATTTTTGGCAGAAGCTGCTTATTATAATAAATGTTAAAGGAACAGAACAATTGTTTACATCTTTGTTCTTTTTGTCTTTATGAATATTTTTTGTCTCAGTGGCAATCATACCACATCTTTTTTTTTTTCATTGATCCCAAAAAAAAATTCTTGACAAATGAACACTCAGAACAACAGCACCACATTTTGAAAACATATATATCACTAAACTGTTCTTTTAATTATGAAAATTTCTGTTTGATAAGATTAAATGTCATGTGTGGTTTTGTAAAACATGGAGTAGAGAAATAATAATTTTCAACTTGGGGAGGAACTCCAAACATAGTAACATTTGTACCAAAGATTTTTAACATATTTAAACTGTTACAGTTATACCGTTTTTAAGACAGGCTTTATCACAAAACTTCAATTAAAATCTGAAACAGGTTCCATAATTGTTGAAATAGTAATAGTCAAGGAACAGAAATATTTGTAGTTGCAGAGTTACTGAATACAAATATTACAAAGAATCGTGTAAAGTTTCCTGTGTAACATATATGTAAACTCATACAGATTGGGACCACGTTATGTTCAGTAGCTATATATAACTGTACTAGAATTTGTAATCTCATCAGTTTTGAATTTTCTTGATATAGTACAATCTTACAGCATGTACAGTGCATGGATCGATGTATTTGTCCTGTGTGGAGTCATTTCTGTTCGGAATCCACTTGGTATCACTGGAACAGAATTTTTACAAGTTTAAATTACTTTATAATTTTGCATGAAGTGGATTCATTTTCTAATGATGTTAACATGTACTAATAGACTATTTTCATATTACCGACTTTTGACTCCGGATTATATAATTTGTCGACTGGTTACCTTGGACATCATGGTACTCGGTCAAGTAAGAGCAACCAAAATAAGTAAAATCAAACATATAATCGGTGTAATTTGAGGGGAAAGTTTATTGTTTTCTGATGATTTTGTAGTGAAAAAAAAATGTTAAGCAGGTAATTTTCCCCCAAAATTGTACCGATTGAACGCTTGGTTTTACTTCTTTAGCTTGCTCTTACCTGACTTGGTACCATGATGTCCAAGGTAACCAGTTGACAAATTATATAATCCGGAGTCAAAAGTCGGTAATATGAAAATAGTCTATTGCTTGTCCTAAAATTTGTTATACATTTGTTTATTCAAATTAGATAAAATCATAAATGATTAACATGTATGTATACATCATCAAGAAGACAAAATAATGACCTAATCACAAAATACTCTTGGAAAGAAATATAAAACAGAAAAACTATTATGGATTACATAGTTTTCCAGCTTCATACATTTGTCATGTTTGTCCAATTATTTGATAAATAAGGCCTACCACATGATAATTTTTTAATTATATGTACATTGTACATGTTCTCTCCATACAGCTACATGTGTAGGGCTATACAGGGTGTAAAGAATGTAAAAAGAGGTAAATGACTACAGTCATGAAAAAAAAGAGTAAATATATAAGGTCATTATCCAGCCACACCTGTCTCTTCAAGTTCAAGGACAAGGTTCATCTATACCTGACATATTATGTTCTTTTAATGAAGTGGTAACTGAAAAAGTAAGCGTGAATGAATTTTGTTTAGTGACATACAATTACCTCAGGCATAAATGGTTACAACTGCCAATTTTATATATATATTGTCATGATTTCTGGCCATAGTGTAAACCACAGGTTTTGTAAATTTGTACTAATGATCTGAAATACATGTCGTTTATTTTATTGTATTAGTAACATGAACTGCCTACAAACACTTTTTAAAAATCCAATTTATTTGATAAAAATCTGCATGTACATACACACCTCTAATTATATATACAACTTCACAATTGAAAACTACTCATTAATCATGTTAATAGCTCAACACCATTTTATATTATAATGATGATTTTCGTTTACAGAAAATGACAGAAGTTGACATTTGCTACAAATCAGTCATAAAATTCATCCCCTGGGAATTTCAAGCTAAAATCAGAAGAAATCAATTTTCAAATTGGTATAATTTTATTGTTTTTATTCAGTTTTTGTTTTTTGTTTTTCTGCAATATATCAATTTAATTGAATTGTCTATTTGTTTGATTTTTACTGCACTATTTGAACTCATCAAATGATTATTTACTGAACATGATACA